GACATTGCACAAGTCCGGTATTTTCTGAATTTTCTTACCAGACAGAGGGCCCAAAAACTGGCAACCCTAGCTGCAAACCCCCTCTAAGTCGCTCGCGACCCCCAGTGTGAGAAACGCTGCCTTAGAGAATGAAGAGTGAATTTGTCTGTGTTTACATGTATTTTGTTAGAAATTGAACAAGATGATCTGCTTAGCCTGTGGATGCTAAAATTCACTTCTTGTCTCATAATGTTTCACTGCTGTATTCTGTTGAGATGGGACTTGTAATAATATTCTTGACCTCATTTCTCTTTGAAACTTGTAATGCCACACCTTTTATATTAGTTCCAGAAAGATTTTTTACAAATCAGCTGTGGTTTGCGGTGGTATGTGTGTGAGCGGCTGCTTCCTCTCATGGGCAGGCATGCTTGTGTGCTGTGTGCAGCGCTCCAGGGCGTGTGTGAGGTAGTGCCTCTGCCCTTGTGGTTAGCCTGTTTGCAGCTGGCTGTGCCCCCTCCTCCCTGGGGGCAGGACGCACGTGGCCAGGCATGAGGCTGGTAGCATGCTCCCGGTCACGTTGAGGGGCTGGCTGTGGTGGCTGCGTGCCGCACCCCCACGTGCCCAGACTGCAGTAGCATGTGCCGGCCTAGTTGCCCGTGCGACAGTGTGTCCCCCGCCCCCTGTGCGGCCACCTCCCCTGCCCTGTGAGTGTGTGTGTGTGCCAATGTACCTGAGGATCCTTTCCTAGTCTCCTCGGAGGCCTGGGAGATGTCTAGGCTGGCAGGGACTGGCCCCAGGGACAGGGTGATGGTCCCGCTCTCCATCTCCTCCAGCTCTGGGCACTGGAGTACGAGTATGGATATGGGCGGGGGGGCAGGAGGATGGAAGGCGGGAGCAGCAGCAGCCCCCGGGTGGGACAGGATGCCGCACATAGTGTCACAGTGCACCATGAGGTTACTCCACACCAGCTGTTGCCACCCAAGGATGTGGTGGAGAGCCTTGTAGCTGGGGCAGATGTGTGGTCCTGCCCCTGAGCACCCCCTCCGCTCCGTAGCCTTGATGTATCCCTGACGGACTCCTTCACCTTTGTCCGGACCTGTTCCATGGTCAGTGCAGGGTGACCTTGCTCTGTCAGGGATGTGGCTATGTGGGTGAAGATGTCGGCATTATGCTACTTGGCCCTGGGTTGTTGGAGCGACTCCTCCTCGCCCCCTCAATTCCAGGAGGTCTCTTATTTCAGCACCTGACCATGCTTGTGGAGGCAGGAAAAGGGAATAAGGGAATTTGTGTGCAGCCATCTTGGTCTTGTTAACAAGAGAGCAAGAGTCAGGCTAAGTCTGTGACCTGAGAACGCGAGATCTGTAATTAGACGCTGCCTTTGCCTGTCGCCTCCATACGGAGATAAGGATAGAACGCTGACTCTGGCAGGGACCTTGAGATAAGGAGCATCTGGGTGGAACTAAATAACTGTTAACCACTGGTGTTTGTAATGGGAAGGAGACTAATTGTTATTGTTATTATATTTAATAGACAGTATATAAACTGCTTCATAATTGCTTGTATTCGAAGATCTGCCTTGGAAGGGGGGGGGGCTCTCCCCCGTCCGAACCAGTTTTTCCCTTGCTGCAGCTCGTAATAAAACTGCCTCTGGCTACTTGTTGCTTAAACACAACGCAGAGTGAAGGCTTGTTTTCTTCCACATGCTGGTGCACGGCGCTTGTTGCCCCTGGGGGGGTCCTGGGCGCTCTGTGGCTGCTCCCTTGTCAGGGCCCGGGGAGTCTGGGGCACCTGTTTCCTCAGCCATTTGTGCCGACAGAGAGTCGCGCAGCAAGGCAGCTGGCTGTGGGCAAGCTTCCTGCCAGAATGGCTGTGCACAGAGCCTGCACCTTTAAGAGGGGCCAGCAGACAGGAACAAGGGAGTTGTGATTGCCTGCTACAGAGCATCCAAATGGCCACCTGTGTTTTTCCCTGGAGGCCACACTTGCCTTCTTGCACAAGAGCTGTAGTGCAAAAAGGAGTTATTCCTTGTGGGGAGAGGAATAACTCTATCACAAAAAGCCCTCTCTTCTTGTTGGTTTTCTTGTGCAAAAGTGCACTTGAGGTGTGGACGCTCTCCCGGTTTTTGCACAAAACCAGCTGTTTTTGCACAAAAACCTTGTAGTGTAGACGTAGCCTGTCTCTTTAAACAGTCACTCACTCGCAGTTTAAGTTTCAGTGTATGAAAGCTGCCGTCTAGTATAATTCTAACCTTCCAAGTTTCCTGTATTGGATTTACCATTTAGACATTTACTACATTCTAGAAAAGAAACACTGTTCTCCGATGAGTCACGGCGCAGGGAAATAAGTTAACAATCAGAGTTTTATTCTATTTTACGTTCTTATAGGATGGAGGCAGAACTATTGATGGGAAAATACAATAAAGCTAGAGTACATTAGCACGAGAAAGATAATTAAGAACAGGAGACTACATTTTTGGAGACATCTTAGTACATCAGTGACACTTGAGAAGCAGTAGTGAAAGTTAACACACATGCAAAAACAATATTGAGTTTGTTTCTTTTTTGTATTGACTTTTTTTAGATAAAAAGCACTTTGCCACGATGACATTAAAATGCATAGAGCAGGCAATGTTATATATGCAGACTCTTGTACGTGGAGGCTCTAGGACACACAACGAAGTAGTACAGGAGCATCTGAAATAGTGGAGAAGAGAGTATCACTCTTATTCATAATACAGGAGGCCCCCCGACATGTGACCACCTGAGTTCCGCCCGCCCGCACATACAACCATTTTTGCAAGTGTGGAAGGGGCCAGAACCCCCTGACTTACATCCTTGGCTCGCATTTACGACAGCGCACGGCACCGATCAAAAATGAGGATTTGAGTTACGATGCCCCCGACTTGCAACGCTTCCCCAGCAATGGATCGCATCGCAAGTTGAGGGCTTCCTGTACCACTGGTTTTGTTAATACACTACCTTGAAATTTACTTAAGTCTTACACTGCTTGATGGCTTATCATTGCTTGTAGTGCATACCTGTACGCTGTGTCTAGACTGGCCAGTTTTTCCGGAAAATCAGCTGCTTCTCTGGAAAAACTTGCCAGCTGTCTACACTGGCCGCTTGAATTTCCACAAAAGCGCTGACTTCCTACTGTAAGAAATCAGTGCTTCTTGCGGAAATACTATGCTGCTCCCGTTCGGGCACAAGTCCCTTTTGCGCAAAACTTTTGCACAAAACGTTTGCGCAAAAGGGCCAGTGTAGACAGCTGAGATTTGTTTTCTGCAAAAAAGCCCCGATTGCAAAAATGGCTTTGGGGGGGCCCCGCGGCAGCCACCTCACTTGTTCTATGGATGGGTCTTGAGGCGGCCTGGGGATTATCTGGGGGCTTGGTGCAGGGGTCACCCCCCCACACTCACCACTGCAGCGAGAGCTGGAGCAACCCAGCAGCCTGCTCCACTCTGCCCTGCCACCTCCTCCCAACCTGCTGCGCTCAGCTTCACTGCGGCAAGAGGAAGTAGCGCTGTCAGGCCCCTGAATGCTCTGCTTCCTGCAGACACCACAGGGAAGTGGGGCACAGTGTACTGGGAGAGGGCTGCAGCCCCTGACGCCCTGGTGAGTGTGCAGAAGAGGGGGTCAGCCCCTGCTGCTGCCCCACACTAAGTCCCCCCGTAACTTCCTTGCTTGCCTTGCTTGAGGAGGGGTCTTCAGCAAGGGGATGGGGCGAGGATGGGGTTTGGGGCAGGGGTATGTGAAGCAGAAGCAGGGCAGGTGTGGGACCTGTAGGGGGTTTGCCCTGGGCCTGCACCTGGGGCACTTGGGGAGGGAAGGGTTGCTCCAGGCCCAACACCCCCTTAGGGGTGGCTCTGTGTGGGTTCCCTGTAGCACACAACCAATGGCCTCCTTCTTGTTTGTGTTTGACATGCTCTGTTCCTTTCACCAGAGCTGGCCTTATGGACGGGTGATGTGGGAATTGCCCAGGGCCTGGTGGTCGGGGATATTGTGGTCAAGAAGCAGGGCAGGCCAGGGGCATGAGGCCATGGAAGGGCTTGAGCCGATGGGAGCTATTTGGGGGAAAGAGGAGCAACTCACTGAGCATGGGCAGGACAACCCATCTCCCTGGGTGCACTCTGTTCCAGAGGCCACACTGATTGACACTCTCACTGTCCAATCAGTGCCCATCCCTGTCCTAAAATGTGCACCACTAATGCTGATCCAGGGGAGACAAGAGTAGGGGTAGGAAGGCAGCAGGGTCCAGGGGAGTTAAGGGTATGGTGGGGGACTGAGAGAGGCAGCAGGACCTGGGGGAGTGGAACACTTGGAGGGCAGAGAGGATGGGTGGGAAGCCCAGGAAGGCAGCAGCAGTGAGGGTGCCAAAATACAATTTCCCCTTAGGCCAGCCCTGCCTTTCAGATTTCTCGCGAGTCCAACTGCTGAATTCTAAGTGCTACCTAATGTGGCACCACTAACAGATGGTCCTTGCGGCTCTCTGGCCTTGCATTCCCTGGCAGGCACCTTGCCCATACTAATGATGATATTTTCCCTCTTCACTATTTTGGAGGTGGGGGCTACTTTGACAAAAAACCTTCAATGCAAGAGTCACTTCCTCAGGGCCCCCCGCTTTCCCAAAGCCCTGCCCTGCTCACTTCATCCCCACTCCCCACACACTTTCTCTGGGCTGAGACAGGGGGTTGGGGTTCAGGAGAGGGGGCAGCCTCTGGGCCGGGGCTGAGGGAGTTTGCAGCGTGAAAGGGGACTCTGGACTGAACTTGGTGCAGGGGGTTGGGGTGTAGGAGGGGGTGAGGGATGCAAGCTCAGGGAGGGAGTTTGGGTGCAGGACAGCGTATGGGCTGTTGGCTCCAGGAAGGGCTCCAGGGTGCAGGAGGGGGTATGGGATGTGGGCTCTGGAAGGGGGCTTAGGACTGGGGCAGGGGCTATGAGTGTAGGAAGGGGTAGCATTTACTTCAGGTGGTCCCTGTCCACGCCTCTGCAAGAAGGGGTCAAAGTCCTTGGGGTGGGCATGTGTCTCTGTGCCCTGCCTCTCTCAGTACCCTGTACCCAGCCAATGGCAGCTGTGGGTGGGGCTTCTTGCAGGCAGGAGCAGCGCACACAGGCTGTGTCTAGACTGCATCACTCTGCCGACGGAGGGATGCAAATCAAGTACTTCGGAAATGCAAATGAGCCCGGGATTTAAATATCCCAGGCTTCATTTGCATACTCAGGTTCCGACGCTGTGCCAATCAGGCTCAGTGTCGAAAGTGAAAATAAAGTGAAGCCACGACTCTGCCGACAACGGGGAGCTTTTTCGGCAGCTCTTATACTCCAAAGTGCTTGATTTGCATCCCTCTCTCGGCAAAGGAATGCAGACTAGACGTAGCCACAGAGACCTCTGCTCCCCGCCCTGCGCAGGGCCACGAGGGCATGGTGGCTGCTTTTGGGAGCAGTGTGGGGCCGACGCAGGCAGGGAGCCTGCTTTCGCCAGCAGCAGCCTCCCTATACCACTGGAGATTGAGAATGACAGGAAGGGAGCCACACTTTGTGTTGATGGGAGCTGCCACTGGCTTGCAGTCCTTACAGTGAAGAACACTGCACTAAGGTAACTCTCAATCATTATTGCTGTGGTTCTCTGACACAGAGTCAAGTAAAAGGCTTATCTGCTGCTTCCCTGCATATTATAGATGGCCAGCTTGGGTCCAAGATAACTTCAATTAGTTACATAAAGGGTGAGTAGAGCAGGATCTTCTTCCTTCAATATTAGATACAAATCTGTTCATTGGTTGCATTTTCTATCACCTCTACCGTTTGTCCTAGAACTAATTGATACTCACATCAGAGAAGCCTCTTGATCAGTGTTTCTTACATTTTTTAAGACGGAGGAACACCAAACAATAATTCTTTTTATGAGGAACACCAAGGATTTTTTGTTGCACAAAAAAAAAAAAAAAAAAAAGTTGGGAGGGGGGAAGTTATTGACGAAAAAAAATCACCTACCCCTTTAAGTGTGGCCGTGGAACACAGTTTAAGAAACATTGCTCTTGATTTATCAAACACTTACAACTATGTACTAATATAAATGACAAACCTTACTAGAATATCCTCATTTTTTTCCTTATGTTAATATCTCTCTTTATTTGACAAAGAGAACACAGAGGACAAAACCTGGTAATGCAGAAATCAGAGAAGATGGATCCCTGTTTAGAAACAAAATGTATTAAAGATTGTAAACTTAAAATGTACATCTAACTTTTCATTGACTTTATCACACTGTATGGTTTTAAACTCAAACTCAAATGAGCTTTCAGTACAGCCTTTGACTCAGAGGACAGAGCCAATACAGGAAAATGTGGGGTTGGTGTGGGGAGGAGGAGATACATTTAGTGTAACTTTTACCAAAGGATTTTTTGTTCCAAATTCACAGAAATTAAATAGCAAACTCTACTTTGTTATCTAGTCCATAGTTTTCTACCACAGTAAGTCTCCCTCCCTTGCTCACCCCACCCCCGAAAAGTATGCCCAATTACTTGTTGTAGAAGGCAGAAAGACTGGGTGCTGGTAACAAGCTATCTCTTAAGAGGGCTGGTTTAGGTGATATTTGTGCAAATTAGGAAGCAGAGTTAGCTAATGGGTGGGGTTTACCCCAGTTACAACCACAGATGGTACCAGATGGAGAATAGAGAATGGAAGCTCTGGTAGATACCTCCCTGCCTGTGCAAGATTGTTCCTTATAGGAAGTAATTTCTGGGGTTTTGTCCAGTTTCCAGCATTAACTGTTTCCAGTTGTGGGATTTCTCAACCAGTAAAGTGGGAGCATATTGCACAGTTGACTTACACTGAAGGGTTAGGATGCATTTTTTTATAGTCAGCCAAACTATTGCTTTTCTTAATGTCATCTTTTTGCTAGTCCTCACACCACTCCTTAAAATACTGCTCTGTATCTTTCAGATCTTGGCAGTGGTAGTTCCCGCTATTATTGACTGTCAAACTCTACACATATTTAGTTCTTCACTTTCCTTAAAGGCCAGTGCCCTGAGGCAACAAATTAGTTTCATGGCTCTTATCTAATTTCCTTTCAGTTCACTTGCCTCCTTCAGGTATTGAAGATTGAACAGAGAACAAAAACATTCTATTTTACTAGAGTCAGATAGAGGTACTATTGCCTTCCTGCGCTGACATAGCTCCAAGACCATTGTTCCTATATTTAAGCTGCTAAGTGAAGTGGCCAGATTTTGAAGCTAATGTTGAGACCACTTGAAAATCTGTACAATTTTCTGGACAAAAAGAAGCTGAGATTTGGGGGTTATAATTGGCCTATAATATTTTTGTATAGATCCCCCAAACTTCCTTGACTTTGTGTTATTATTATTCTAATAGGGTACGTCTAAACTACATGGCTCTGTCGACGGAGCCATGTAGATTTGGTTTTTTGGCAAAGGGAAATGAAGCTGCGATTTAAATAATCGCGGCTTCATTTAAATTTACATGGCTGCCGCGCTGAGCCAACAAACAGCTGATCAACTGTTTGTCGGCTCAGCGCACTAGTCTGGACGTTCCCCTGCCGACATGAAAGCCTTTTATCGACATCCCCTGTAAATCTCATCCTATGAGGCATAAGGGGGAGGTCGATAAAAGGCTTTCAGGTCAGCGCGGAGCGTCCAGACTAGCGTGCTGAGCCGACAAACAGCTGATCAGCTGTTTGTCGGCTCAGCGTGGCAGCCATGTAAATTTAAATGAAGCCGCGATTATTTAAATCGCGGCTTCATTTCCCTTTGCCTATCTGTCTAATCTACATGCCTCCATCGACAGAGGCATGTAGTCTAGACATACCCTTACATTTGTAATGCTATGTAATTTCTTGACCAGTATCACCCTGAAGTATTCTTCAGTGTTACTTATTTCCTTGGTTTTCTACATATGCAATATTTGCAATATTTTTTCCCTAGGGACATTAGACAGAATCTTATTTTATAATTTCAAGGTTGTATTTCTCCCGTCATTATTATTCCTCTCTTGTGTTCAGAACACATTCCTAATTCAGTGTGATCTATTGATTTAATTTTCATATTATCTAGTCTTATTTTTGAATCTCTTACGTTTTCCCACTGTTTGTGCTGTCATACACAAGAGTTGAATAGTTACCTTGAGAAACTATAACACTTTAGCTTGAAAAACACACATATAACAACATTGTTGAATTTGAACCACATTTTTAGAATTCTGTCTACATGGTGTTTTCAGGAATCCGGAGAACATTTGGATAAGAGATTCATGTTGAGGAAGTAAAAGTGAAGATTTAGGTAAGTAATGTGGGTTAAATGCCAGTTAATTATCAGGGTTAATATTATTGTCTGCTTTAGAAATGGTCTAATCTACTTCTATTTTAGATGGACATTTAAATGTAACCAGTGCTTCAGCAGAGAGGGTTCTGTCCATGTCAAAGTATGTAGCAAAATTCCACTATAAAGGGGCATTCGTTAATAAAAACTATATTGCATGTCTGTAGTACTTTTCATAAAATTATCTCAAAGCTCTTTACCTAAGAATTACCTATTTTACAGACGGGAAGAACAAAGGGAGAAAGTGCTAAGGGATTTGTGCGAGGTTACACCGTGAGTTCATGGCAGTTACAGGTAGAACCTGTGTTTCCAAGTGCCTAATTCTCTGCTAGACTACAGGACCCTGAAATCAGAAGGGGAGACTACCTAGCAGCCATGCTCTGATGGGGAGGAATCACATTGGGTGAAAGGTGGCTAATGAAAATGTAGCCAACTGATTTGCTTAGATCCATTAAATGTTGCTTTAAGGCAGGAGTGGGGAAGCTAAGACCCAGGGCTTTCCCCACAACCTGCCCCTGTGCCCTCCCTCCCATTCAGAACCCACACCTCAAGCCGGCTTCCCGGCAGCTCTGCCCCCCGCCACACACACACTGAACCCTGGGTCCCCCTAGGCTCTGGCAGCCATGTCAGAGATGTTTTTCTTTTGTTTGTTTTGCCTCTCACTTTTGTGCAACTCCCAACTGATTTTTCTGTGGGCCAGTAGCCCTTGACCCAAAAAAGGTTCCGCACCCCTGCTTTAAGGGCTGGCCTTGGAGCATGAGCAAAACAAAATATTAGACAGTAACCTACAGGGATTCTGTATTTGGTCCGGTACAGAGTCCTCATGGCAACGCTTGAGCCACAACAGCAGCATTCACCCATCTCATCTGCAATTTTACAGTCAAGAAAGCAGCAACAGACTATTCCACATAGGCCTGGATAAAGATAAAACAACAAATGAGGCCCACTCAATGTCCCCCTTCAATCATGCAGACAGTTAACTTTTACTACCACTTTTAGGAGCGATATCGAATGATATAGGCCATGTCTACACTCCAGAGAAGATCGAAGCATCCACAGTTGGTTTTCTGGGTTTCAAATTAGCGGATCTAGTAAAGACACACTAATTCGAACTGTAGACGTGGACAGTTACTTCGGGCTAGTCAATTTCTAAAATGGTGACCGGCTGGGAACATGCAAATCAAACGTGGGATATTTAAATCCCGGGCTTGATTTGCAATTTTGGTCGCCCTCATTAGCCTCCCTAGATCGATCTAGGGGGCTAGTGTAGACGTACCCCAAAGGAGGCCAAGATATTTAAAAGTCTTTATAGTGATATCATGTGAGGCTTTATCTTGGCTGGCAGTTCTCCCCGTGTCTCTCATAATAAACGAAGATCATTTTTTCATGACCGAAAATGATGTGTTTACTGTGGGTTAACTCACACCCATTAACTGTCACGCAGGTGGGGGATATGGAGTTGAATAGTTACCTTGAGAAACTATAACACTTTAGCTTGAAAAAACACACATATAACAACATTGTTGAATTTGAACCACATTTTTAGAATTCTGTCTACATGGTGTTTTCAGGAATCCAGAGAACATTTGGATAAGAGATTCATGTTGAGGAAGTAAGAGTGAAGATTTAAATAAGTAATTTGGGTTAAATGCCAGTTAATATCCCCCACTAGGATCTGACTGTAAAACACACCATATCGGAGCTCAGAGCCTCAGCAGATCCAGATGAATGTTAGTGGGGCTGGAGCACAAGTACTTGCTTTGTGTGAGAGTGCGTGGGTGATGTTACCATCTAGAGCAGTGGTTCCTAAATTTTTTGGCATCACGCCTCCTTTTTGATTTTTGAAAAACCCTCACGCCCCAAAAAATAGCAGCAAAACTTGTTGAGCCAAAAAAAATAAAGGAACTGACCAGGGCAGCAAAACTTGATGGGGAGGGGGAAGCTGGGTCACCTCGCTCCCCCGCTGCAATTTCTTCAACACCCCCAGGGGGGCACGGTCCCCATTTTGGGAACCCATGATCTAGTGACTGGCTCACTGAGTGGGGATATGCCATTGCTTTAACCAAATCCAAAAGAGACTCCTCCCCCCTTTGAATTAGTACTCACTAAAAGAGTGGAGATATGTAATTAACCAACCATCAAGTCAAAACAAAAATGCAGTATTTGACAATCCACTTACAGACTCCAAAGTCACTGCAGCAGTCTAGCAACCCGGTCTGCCAGGCATTGCTTGATGCAGGAGCAACAGCAATCTGGGGCTGTAGAACTACAACAGTCTGAGGGTCCATTTCCACTTTCTCCGGATGAGTTCAGAAGTTTACACTCTGAAAGGAGAGCAACACAGAGAATGGCTTGAAAGTCTTTTCAGCTTTGTGACTAGCTATGTCACCAGACCCCTGATGTCTTTGTGGTGATACAACTGGCAAAACGTGTGAAATGGCACCAGGTTTCTCACTGACTTGGAAGCAATGCTGTCCCCGTGGTAGCTGGATAGTTGTGGTGGACACCTTAGGCCAAATTGTTGTCAACGGAGTGGAACTAGGTATGAATTTGGCCCATTTTCTTAAGTGTGGGTTATGAGTGGTGTAAATTTTCATTCAAAAGCACATTTCTCCCTGATATCACACCGGGGCATAGTTCATTCCTGATTCAAAGGCCAGGGTGCCAGTATTTGGATGGCAACAACATATCTTCCAGCAATACCTAATGGTCCCTTGGCCATCTCCCTGGTGAGACCTGCTCTGATCCTACTTAGCTTTTGTGAACTGAGACTATCACAACACGACATGCCTTGGATATTATTGCAGAAATGGTAATCTCTCTGTTCCTGCTGTTCTCCAAAAGGACCTCCCCCCACCCCCCACAAATCCAGAGATTAGCCTCTAAATCAGAATTTTCCCACTGTAGCTAGCCCTTAGCCCAGTCTAAGATTTCACTCAGTCCTTCCCTCAGGCAAACTCTCTGTGACCTCTTTGAGGATTTATAAAGGTCCAAAATAATTCTGGCAGCAGAAAACAGCTTCCCAGGCATTTCTATACAGCAGTGGGCAAGAATCACAAGGGGATCTTTGGTGCTGCAACATTCATTGTTGCAGTGCTTAACCCTGCTGCTCAGGGAATTCATAACCCTATGTTAGGCACCCAAACCCTTACGCAGCTCAGAGAGCAAGTTAGATGCCTAGAAAAGCAATTCACAAAAGTAATTTTTAAGCTGTTAAGGCATTAACCTTCACCAGAAGCATTAGACATAAAACTAATATAAAACAATTTTTTCTCATTTGGGGAAGGATTTCTGGAGCTAGTTAATTTTAAAATAAAATCATTAAAAATTGATTATACAAAGTCTTAAAGACAGAAATAGAATGTGTATTTGTGTGTATATGTGTGTGTGTGTGTGTGTGTATTTCGTGTATATTGACTCCAATACATGCATCTGACAAAGTGGGTCTTTGCCCACGAAATCTTATGCTCCTACACTTCAGTTAGTCTATAAGGTGCTACAGGACTCCTCATCACTTTTGCAGATTCAGACTAACACGGCTACCCCGCTGATACTCCAACAGGAGAGTACAGCGAATATCCCATAGCCCAGTAGAAAGAGGAAGAGTCAAGTTCAAGTTCCTTTACCAGATTAGGAAGTGGGAGAGGGAATGAACCCAGGTCAACCACACCTTGGCTAAATTCACTAGCCCAGAGGTTCTCAAGCTTTCCAGATTGCTGTACGACTTTCAGGAGGCTGATTTGTCTTTGTACCCCCAGTTTCACCTCACTTAAAAACTACTTGCAAATCAGACACAAAAACGCAGTGTCCCAGCCTGCTATTACTGACAAAGTGCTGTTATTTAATGTTATCATAAAATCATTTGACCATATAATTATAAAATAAATCAATGTGTGTATACATATTGTACAGTGCAATAGTTCAGCCTGTTTTTCACATGTGAGCCTTGTCTGAAGCCCCAGTCCCAGGCAGTGGGGCTGAAGCATGTAATTTAGATTTGCCGAGCCTGCTGTGTCATGGGACCCTGGGCACAGGACCATTCTGAGAAGGGTGGGGAGCCTGGGGTAACACCCCCTCCCGGCTGCATGCCCCATCCTCACTTCACCCCTTCCCACCCCTGCTTCGCTCCTTCCTCAAGCCTTACCCCTGCTCTGCCCTCACAGTGCCCCCCCTTCCCTACCCCGAACAACATGTCCTGGATGATTATGGGGGCCTGGTGTGGTGGCAGGAGGGTCACCCCCACCTCTACACCCCACGTGAGTGGCAGGAGCCAGAGCAACCCTCTCCCGGACCACTGCACTCCACTTCTCCACAGTGGCAGAACCTGGAGTGCCCTTGGGTGAGTGCAGGGGTCAACCCCTGCTGTTGCCCTGTGCCAGACCCCTGTAATCATCCAGTTGCCTCCCATTCACCCCTTAGTGCTGGCCCTGCAGTTGTAACCCCTCCTAAACTTGTCTCAGGACCAAGCCAGGGGTGCAACCCCCAGGCTGGGAAACACGGATCTAAATGACTTGAGTCTCCCCTGGAGGACTTCTGAGTACTCCCAAGGATACACACAGCCCTGGTTGAGAACCAATGGGCTAAAAGTTCCTGAGGGGATCACCACCAACTCCATGTCTTATCAAAAATGGCTTAGGCACCTAACTGCAAGAGATGGTTCATGCCTGTGAATCCAGAACAAAAGGAATTGTCTCTGTCTAGCCTGGAATTAAGGCTCACCCCTAAGAGGAATGTAAGAGCATAGGCCACACCCCTTCTCCGTATTTCCTATTATTGTACCTAGATTAGGCCGATTCCCAATCAGCATTCTTAGGGTACGTCTACACTACAGAGGAAGATCGAAGGTGCCGCTGTCAATCTTCCAGGGTTCACAATTAACATAGCTGAAGTTGTGTATCTTAATTCGACCTTAGCCCGTAGTGTAGATGTACCCTTCGGTGCCTAACACTCCCTACACACTGCATAGGCAGCTCAGGCATCTGACGCAGGGCAGCAGATTCCACTGGGTGGCTAGGTGCCTAAAGGTAAGTCAGTGCGAGGTTTAATGCTGCAACGCCTGAATCCCTTCAGAATATTTCTTTAAAAAGGCATTAACTAACCATAAAACATATTAACGAGGGAGGAATAAAAAGTCATTTATGTATTAGCATACATTTTGCTCAGTTTAAAAAGGAGCGATGCAATTAGTATACTACTAAAGCCTGGTAAACGTGCAAAGCATTAATAACAGAGGAATAAAGCAGAAGTGTTATTACATTTCTATAGTCAGCACGCATTTCCTCAATTTTAGAGAAAACTAGGTTTTCTGAAGGTTATTTAGGCTATTTAAAAACTGCACAAAGGTTGCTAAGTATTAGTGATAAAGAAAGGAAATATAACCTTAGAATTAGTTACATTTTGCACGGAAGGTGCTGGACTACAGACAGCTTTCAGGGATCTCCAAATAAGGTGTTAAAAAAAAAGAAGAGAAGGTAAAAAAGGGCAAAGAGAAAAGGGCAGAGTGAAGAGAGAGGTGTCTCACCACAGTGTCACCACACCAGCCAAAATAGTAAAAACCCCTGTTCTGAGAGCTTTTGATAATAAGGCCATATCACATGAGCCATTCAGAATGTTTCATTTATCCGTATGACCATTTATAGACTCATATGTCACATATTACATAGCAGCATGTTTTTTTGTATCCAATCTGAAGGTTTTTCTAAACGCATGGCCTTTTATGGAACTAGTGTTGCATTATTAAAATGCAAACTAAAACCAAAACCATTACAAAGAACAAGTAGGTGCTTTCTTCTTTGAATTCCATTTTTCTTTTTAGCATTAGCTTTCTTTGTTTTTTTTTAAATTCTGGACCATTATTAAAATTTCCTTTTACATACAATTCCTTCAGAAATTGCCTTTAAAAACTATCCAACACAAATTGAGTTAAACACCTAACCTTAATTCCAATCTTGCTGATTGCATTATTAAAAAGTAAACTAATTTTAATAACATTGTACATTTGTTGGTAATTAGCAGCTATTTGTGTAAGCTATATTAAAGGCCTTTTAATTTTCACAAACTTTTGGAAGGTCTGATAAATAAAAACAAATTTTTAATTACATATACAACATACACAGAGACCACTACCTATCTCCTTCCCAAAGTCTACATTCAGGCCAAAATGTATACTTTTAAACGGAAAAAACCTTATGATCATACATTAAACTTAACATTATATATATGTCAACCACACAAACATTTATATTTGTCTTTCCAATAGGGCACACAGACTAACCTAAAGGAAATTTAATAATGGATAATACCCTCATGCAGGAAACAAAATGCAAGCCTACTTTAAAATATGATTAACCTTTTCTGCTTCTTTTTCCACCCTGTTCTATCTTCCACAAACCATGTCCTTCTAATAGAGATAAAACTAACTTAAAATGTAAGGTATAGGTGGACTGTGATAACAAACACAATGGGAAAATATTTTGTAGACAGCTCTGTAAACAACTGCTATAAAAGTAAGGATGTTGATGCATTTAGTGCATGGCTTTATTAGCCATAAAAATATATATCCAGGCTAGGAGTTCTGCAGTGGTGTAACTGCACAGTGCTGTCAAAGGCTTTGCTCTCTCATCATTCTTGCAGGCTTAATGTTTAGTTGCCGCTTGTCCTTTCAGGGAACAACGTATGCCTTAGGTCACTAAGAAGTGTTGCTGTGGAGGTACATCTATAAAATACCACTAAGCATGCAAAGAGAACAAAGAGTCCTGGGGCAATTTAAAGAGTAAGGGTACATCGAAGGGTATGGCTACACTGACACCCTAGTTCGAACTAGGATGGCAGTGTAGACATACTCTGACTGTGTTGCTCTTTTGGGATACCAGAAGTATCCTGAAATAGCAATGCTGTGTCCTCAAAAGCTCCCACTATTTCCTTGGACCTAGCACGCCATACCCCCTCCTGCATCCCGGGCCCTTGCCCCAGCCCTCAGCCCTCACCCAGAGCCTGCACCCCATACCTCCTCCTGCACCCTGTAGCCCCTTCTATGCTCTGTATCCCCATGCAACAGCCTTTATCCCTCTTCCTCCACCCCAACTCAGCCTGGAGTTCCCTCCTGCACCTCAACACCCTGCACTAGACTCAGCCTGGAACCCCATTCCATGCTGCAAACCCCTTGACCCCAGCTGAGGGTACGTCTAGACTACCGCGTTTTGTCGACGGAAGTTTTGTCGACAGATACTGTCGACAAAACTTCCGTCGACAAAGAGCATCCAGACACATTGAGTTCTGTTGACAAAGCAAGCTGCTTTGTCGACAGAACGCCGTAGTCTGGACGCAATGTTACAGGCAATAACACCTTCTGTCAACAGAGTTCTGTCGACAGAAGGTGTTATGCCTCGTAAAATGAGGTTTACCAGCGTCGACAAAACTGCTGAGTTCTGTCGACGTTATGTCGACAGAACTCAGCGGTAGTGTAGACGCTGGTATAGTTTTGTCGACAAAAGTCCACTTTTGTCGACAAAACTAGGTAGTCTAGACACACCCTAAGAGCCTGAACCCCAACTCCCTGGCCCAGCCCAGAGAAAATGAGTGAGGCTGTAGGATAGTGAGTGGGTAGAGGGATGGAGTGAGCAGGGCAGGGATTCTGGGAAGGGGATGTGGCTCTCACATTGCTTTTTTGCCACCTCAAAAATAGTGAGGTGTATTGATCTATACCTGAAATTCTGAAAGAATTAGTGTTACTTAACAGGGACGTCATATGCGGGGAGAGAAGTAAAAAGTGTCAATGATTGTTACATAGAATATTTTAAAGTTGGCTTGCATTTTGTCTTCTGCCTGGGTAGTGGGCATAATGTGAGTAAAGAATATATATCTTTACCCATGTATCCTTTATGCCCATTATATACACACAGAGCTAAAGTTAAAGGAATTGTTTTTTCATAACATATTTAAAACTAGATGTTTGTATATGTGACATTTACAAAACAAATATAAAATTAGCTTGAGTCCAGGCTCTTTAAAACAGTATATAGTTTGGCTTCAATGTATGTTTAGTCATTGTGGGACAGAATAGAAGATAGAAAGAAGTCTCAATAATAAGATGGGTGAAATAGAGTGCCGTATATTGAGTGAGGCTATTGATATAATAGTACAACGACGTAGCATTTCATTTCAAAAAGGGGAACTACACAAAAATAAGGAAGTTAGTTCAATGGAAATTAAAGGGTACAGTGCCAAAGATGAAATTCCTATAAGCTGAATGAAAACTTTTTAAAGACACAATTACAGAGGCTCAATTAAAATGTAGATCCCTAATTTAAAAAAATGAAAAGAGAACCAAAAGAGTGCCACCATGGCTAACTGTCACCGGGTGTATGAACCCTGCACTAGGGCTGGGAAGGTTAACCTGGCCCACCTTGCCAAGTAAGCTCCACCCCCACATCCCTGCAGGGCATTCTCCAGGAGGGGGCCAGTGTATTAAAGCAAGAAGAACATGGGATGCTCTGACAGGGTGTACCAGCCCCACATTAGGGAAGCCAGACCTAACCAAGTTCTTCTGGCTGAAGGAGTCCCGCCCCCACAGTCCTGCTGGGCATGCTCAGACTGCTGCCCAGGTATAAAGGCCCGGAGAGAAGGTCAGTCTGGGCTGGCTGCTGAGGAGGGAGGAGGTACTGCCTGAGCTCCAGGAGGTGACCTGCCAGTAGTACCAGACCTGGAACCAGTCCATGAGACACCAAAGATACGGCCAAAGATCTGGAGGAAGAACCCTGGAAGGAGTCCAGAGGAGACTGGTAGGAAGTAGCCCAAGGTGGGTAATTGATTCATGAGAACTTGGTGTGCTACAGTTGGATCCCCCACCAAGCTCATGGTGGTCCACTCTACCACTGACAGGGCCCTAGGCCAGGACCTGGTGGAGAGGGTGGGCCCAGGTCCCCCTACTCCCTCCTCATCAACCTGATAAGGGAACACACTCCTGTTGGTATTGGCCTGGCTGATAGGCCATGCTGCCCTGGGAGAGATGGGTGTTACTAATGACTCTGGCCATGATGCCCTGACTGAGAGGGGTGTGACTGTAGGTGCAGGCTGCTAGGCTGCACTGCCCTGATAGTGAGGGGTGTTGTTTAAACTCTGGCTGTTAGGCAATGCTGCCCTGTGGGAGAGGGGCATTATCTCACTGACACTGGCTGCCAGGCCGCACTAGCCAAACCCCCATGAGTACCCTGTCTCAGCTACCACCAGGACCCTGCCCCAGGACCCTTCCCCAGCACCAGTACCCTGTCCCCTGCCCCACCAGCACCCTGCCCCAGCACCCAGACTCAGGACCAGCTCCCACCATCTCAGCCTGTCCCCTGCCCCCACCAGCACCCTGCCTCAGCACCAGCACCCACCAGCATCCTGCCCCAGCACCCTGCCCTAGTACTCTGTTCCCTGCTCCCCCAGCACAGTTGGGGCCACATTAGTGAGGCTTGTGGGGTTTTGGAGGGGTTGGTTTTTTGCATCTCACTTGTGTGGCCCTGACTGACTTTTCTGTGGGTCAGTGACCCCTGACTCAAAACAGGTTCCCTGCCCCTCTCATAATAAAGACAACACTGAAACCTTTTGTGTTTGACATAATATTTATTTAAAAGTGAAGCCTGGCCAACAAGCCCTCAATTGAGGCCAACCCCCCATCTGGCCGCAGCATCATAACACTCCTGCACCCCCTCCAGACTCCAAATCTGAGCCTGTCATACATTGGAACCCCCTGTCCTGAGCCTCTCACATCCTCAAACTCCTGCACCTTCACATCCTCAGTCTTCTGCCACAACACTCATGCACCATCCACACACTGCAAATCTGTGTCGTGAGCCCATCATACTCCCAACCTCCCTGCCCTTCATCCCTCACATACCCAACCCAAACTCCTGCACCCACACATCCCTTGCACAAGCATATAATTCAGTGTTAATTGCATAGCATCACACACTGTTTCTCAAATAATATGATAGCATACAGTTTTTTCCACTGAATGGAATGGACTCAAGAGTACTATAATATATACACGCATGAGGGGATGGTTTATGGTTCCCAGTTTAATTTTCATATGTCCTGAGTTTTAAGTACCTAACTGTACAGTGTTAATATTTTTCATATGATTTCCTTGGAATGTAGGCATTGCCAAATCAGCCAATGGGACCCTCTAGTCTAGTCCAGTATTCTAGCTACAAAAGTGGCCAATATGAGATGTCACAGGATGGGGTGCGAGTGTGTGCACATAGGTCCACAAGAAACTACAGTGAACAGTTATCCCCGGATATGGAATGTTTCTTCTTCACTCCCATCAGTTTGTGGCTGGCTTATGACCTGAAACACGAGTGGGTTTTAATCTGTGTTTTATCCTACCTATTGTATTTTAGATGTTTCCATTATCAATAAGCCTTCATCTTTAAAAAAAAATGTATGAACTTTTGCCCTCACTGCTATTTAATGGCAGTGAGTTCTACAGATGAATTCGGTAAAAAAAAGTTTCCTTTTATCAATTTAAATTTGCTGTCATTTAAGTAAATGTA